GGGAGAGCCATTGGTATTCAGCCTGGCACCCAGCACCCCCAGGGCCACTTCCACTGGCGGGAAGCCATCCCCCTGTGCCAAGGTGAGAGCAGGGACACGTTGGGATCGAGTTCTGAGAGTCCCTGGAAAAGCAGTGAAAAATTATACTGGAATTGGGTAATTCTGTGTTGAAAACCAGATTGGAGCATTGAGGGTGATCCTTGTCTGCAAGACTTTGGGAATAGATGGCAAAGAGGAAAAGGAATGACTGGGAGCTGGAAAAAGAGCAGCAGGGGAAAGGTTGGGTTTTCCAGGTGCTTTCTTTTCCCTGGGAGAGCCACTGGTATTCAGCCTTGCACCCAGCACCCCCAGGGCCACTTCCACTGGAGGGAAGCCATCCCCCTGTGCCAAGGTGAGAGCAGGGATGGGTTGGGATTGAGTTCTGAGTCCCTGGAAAAGCAGTGAAAAAGAATCAACATTGGAATTGGGTAATTGGGTGTTGAGAACCAGCTCAGGGTGCTGAGGATGATCCTCATCTCCAAGGGTTTGGGAGTAGATGGCAAAGAGGAAAAGAAATGACTGGGAGCTGGAAAAGGTTGGATTTTCCAGGTGCTTTCTGTTCCCTGGGAGAGCCATTGGTATTCAGCCTGGCACCCAGCACCCCCAGGGCCACTTCCACTGGAGGGAAGCCATCCCCCTGTGCCAAGGTGAGAGCAGGGACACGTTGGGATTGAGTTCTGAGTCCCTGGAAAAGCAGTGAAAAATTATACTGGAATTGGGTAATTCTGTGTTGAGAACCAGCTTGGAGCATTGAGGGTGATCCTTGTCTGCAAGGCTTTGGGAATAGATGGCAAAGAGGAAAAGGAATGACTGGGAGCTGGAAAAGAGCAGCAGGGAAAAGGTTGGATTTTCCAGGTGCTTTCTTTTCCCTGGGAGAGCCATTGGTATTCAGCCTGGCAGCCTGTCTAGACATCAGGCCTTGGAGAGGGATTGGCCAGCCCTGAGCTCGCTGCAGTGACACTCC